AGAGCTGGGTGCTCAGGGTGAGGCGTGACTGGGGGACGGGCACGTGCAATGAGCACAGAGCAGCTAAGGGCTGGTGACGCCGCCCTCAGCCCCTGAAACTTTGCTTGGCCACATTCCCACTCCCATCCCCAGCCCAAGGGCTGAGGAGCAAAGAGGGGTCCTCTGGACCGTGCACCTCAACTTGTCTCCTCTGCCACCTACGGTCTCCTTGGGGATAAGAACAGGGACTGGGGCAGGGGCGCTTCCTGGAAGGGGCAGTGTGTGTCTGCAGAGGTGCAGTGGGTGCTGGGAGGCCCATGCTGGAGGGTGTGGGAGGCGGCTGTGGGCACCATCCGTACATGTCAGCTGCAGCCGCCTCATTTTGCAGCTCATTAAACCCAATATTCCTGACAGCGTCGGCGTGGGGCCCCTGGGAGCGGAGCCCCTCCCCCACTACCCTGGCAGAGACAGGCGGGAGGGCAAAGAAGTTGGGGGTGGCGGGGGTGGGCGGGGAGGAGAGGCTCCTCTGTGAACTGGGGGATCCAGGGGAGACACGACAGGTGGCCAGGAGCCCAGGTAGGTGTGGGAGGTCGCTCTACACTTGCCTCTCAGCCCCTGAAGCCACCAGCCCAGGGGTGGTCCATCCCACTGGGACTATGACTGTCCTGGGGGCTGGTGAGCCAGCAGGAGGACAGAGCTCCACTAGGGCTGTCTCTGGGCACCTTCCCTGGGGCCCTGAGACCCCAGGCCCTCCTGAACTGGATCTGATCTCAAGGGCTCAGAGCTGCCTTCCTAGAGAAATGAGGACACTGCCTCTTCTGCCCCGGGGAATTCAGCCAGCCCGCACCTCGCCTTCAGGCACAGCCTCCGAACTCTGCCGGTCTCCCTGGCCACGCATGGGGGCGGGCCCCCTGAACTGCTGGGCCCCGCTACGCTAAAAGCTGGCAAGAAAAGGGCGTTCCCTGAAGGTGATCTCTGTCCACCTGACCCACACACTTGACCTGGATGCTCAGGGGAGGAGGTGACGCAGGAGCCTGTGGGTTAAACTTGCTTGAGAGCAGAGACACTCCAGTCAGTGAGAAGAGGGACATTTTAAAGGGAACCTTGGGGAAAATCAGGGCCGTCCGGAATCACTAGAAGCTATGACAAAGGTCTTTGGACAAATGTCTTCTTCAAGACTTGGGACCCCCTAATCTGGAGGTGACTGAGGGGTGGCTCAGGCCACCTAGAAAGCCAAACAGTGCTGGGGGCTGGGCACTGGGCTGTTATCCGCAGTCAGAGGTTCAAACCCACTAGCTGCTCTGCAGGAGAAAAACGAGGCCATCTGCTCCCGTGTGCTCAATGGCTGCAGAAACACGACACAGGGTCACTCTGAGTTCGAGCTGACTCAGTGACCGGTGGTTTGGGCTGTGCTCATCAGAGTTAGCGACAGAGGACAGACAGGTGCCTGGCCCTCAAAACTTGGGAGAGGAATATGAGTGGTAGGCAATCTCTCTGCCTTCATTCAAAGCTGAGCAGAAATGAGCTCACATGCAGGCAAAGTAGAGAGCTTTTCTGACCAAAGTTGGGCCACTACTTTCATCAAAGAGGAGACAGGTGCCTGTGAGGTCAGTGCCCGTCCTGCGCCCCCGTTTCCCTCCGTGGCCCCCTAACCTTCGGTGGCGCTGGTGGGGCCATCTTGGCGGGGGGTGCCAGTGCTCTTTTTCCGCCGGTGCTTCTTCCGGTTGGAGTGGGGAGATGGGGGGGGCTCCAGCTTGGGGCTGGAGCTGAGGATCTCAGTGGGGCCACCGGCTGCCGAGGAGAAGCGGTAGGGACATGTGGGAGAGAGAGAGCGGAGGCAGAGGTGAGGCGAGGGCGGGTGGGCTGGACAGGAGCAGCGGGAAAGACCAGGCTTTGCCTTGTCCATAGCTGGCTGCTGGGAGCCCCACTCTGCCTGGTGGCTGAGCAAGGCCCAGAGCAGTCAATACCCCCCAGCCTCCACCCCGTGCGCGAGCACCTCCCCCAAGGTGAGGGGCACTGCCCAGAGTCTGCCCATCCCAAAGTGGAGCAGTTTTGGAGGACCGACATGTGGGAGAGCAGCGTGTGGAGAAAGTAGGGGTGACAGGCCTGCCTAGGGGCGGGCACAGGGGTGGGGGGCACTGTGGCGTCTGCAGCCTGGAGGGTGGAAGGGGCCCCAGGAGCTCCGCACCAAATTTATCCTCAATCACATTCCCCGCTCCTCACAATTAATAGCAGAATTAGAAACAATCAGGGAGCTGCCTAATTACTGTCAATTAGAGCGGCTAATCAAGCTCCCGTCTCCCACACCCCACCCAGCGCTCACCACTAAATGTCAAACTTCATTAGAGGCAGACACGCACACTCCCTCCCTCCCTCTCCCCACCTCTTCCAGACTCCATGAGAGCCTCCAGCCTGAGCCTCACCATGCTAACAAGCCCTGGGACGGGGACCACGGGAGCCTTGGGGGGCCCTGGTCACCCCTCTGCTCCTGGACCCTGGAAGGAGAGGCGGGGCCTGGACCTGGTGCCAGCAGATGCCCGCACAGTCCTTTCCCTCCTGGAGACCAGGCCTCTCGGAGTTCAGTTCTTCTGGGGTTTGTGTTTCCACTTGGACAGGGGACCTGGGAGAGGCTTTTGGAAGGCCAGTGGGGGGAAGGAAGTGGGGCGGGGCAGCAACTAGGCCCGGCCCTACTTGCCCAGCTAAACCAGCAGGGCAGGAGAGCAAGCTTCTGCCGGGGCATCTGCCCCCTCACAGCGTGCCCGGGCCTGGCGGCCGGGACACCTGTGGCTGTCTCCCACTGCACACCTTGGCTCAGAGGAGCACATACACAGGAGAGCGAGGTGGAACCCACCTCCCGGCTGACAGGGGTGAGGCTCACCGAAGGGCAGAGCCGAAACCAACGGGGGTGGGGGGAGAGGAAAAGGTAAGGTGGGAGCAGAACACACAAGCAGGGCCGGCACAGAGAAGGTGGTGAGCAGCAGTCCAGGAAGATGGGCAGGGTGGGGGTGAGAGTCCCTGGATCAAGGACTGGGAAGTGGTAGAAGGATTGTGTGCGGAGGTGTGTGTGTGTACGCGCGCGCCCGCATGCGAGACCTCAAGCACACAGCTACCCAGAACGACGCTCCCCCGTGGGGAAGCTGATGAGCCTCAGCATGGGGTGTTGACCATGAAGAGCTGGGTGCTCAGGGTGAGGCGTGACTGGGGTGGTGGTGGTGGATACAGGAGGCGAGAAAGGTCAAGGTAAGATGTGGGGGGAAGGGGAGGGGGTGCGAGTCGGGGCAGCAAGCCAAGAGCACAGACAGGACACCAGCATCAGCCACAGCCCGAACCCTGACGGGCCAATCCCGCCTGGTAGTTCCCCTCAGCGGGGCACCCACGGAGAAGCCACACTCACCAGGGTGCGGGGTGCCCAGGGGCAGGGCAGTGGCCTCACTCCACTGGTCTGCACTGGAGACGGAGCAGGAGCGCTGGGGCAGCCCTTCTGGGCGCGGGCCTGCCAGGGCCGAGCTGCCGAGGGGGCGGTCGGAGTGCAGGCACGTGCTGCTGGCCGAGTGGGGAGCACCTGGGGGTGGGCGGAGGGTCAGAGGCGGGGTGGGGGTTGGAGCACAGCTGGGTTGAGCAAGTAGCAGGACAGGTACCGGGGGTAGCCGCCAGGATGCTTGGGGCTGGAGAACAAGGCTGCCTGAAGGAGCCCTGGTGACTATGGGCCGGCCCTGTGAAACTCAGGGCTAGCAGATGGGACTCAACAACCCCTCGTTCCACAGGAGAAATGCGAAGCTTTCTGCAACTTAACGGCACCGGGCAGTTCTACTCGGTCCTGTGGGGTCACTCCAACTGGAACCCCATCCACGGCAGGGAGTTCAGTTTGTGTGTGGTTTTTAAAACAAGGTGGTGCCTGAGGAATCCCTGCAGGGCACTGGCCCCCAGCCACCCCCTCCCCAAGTTAATGCCAGGCTTACTGGGGAGTGGGAGGAGCTCATTGCCCCCCCCCACCAAGGTTCTCCGCAGGCTGTGCCCCCATCTGATGACTCTTGGGAGGAAGCAGGACGGCCACCACCTCCCCCCCGTTTTTGGCAAGGAGGCAGGAATTTGGCTCTGGCCTCTCTCCCCCGTGTTCCCCAGAACTGCCCTCCTCCCACCCCCTTGCACCCTTGGCCGTATATGCAATCTGCTCAGCCTCAGATTTGCTGCCATTCTAACGAGAAAGAAGTGTATCAAATCTAAGTAATTATGTCTAATTAGTATTAGTAATTATCCCGTTGGGCAGGAGAGAATCAATCTTTCGCTTCCTGTGAAGGAACAACAGCACAGGCTCTAGGGGTGCCACCGCTTGGGTGGAGCTGGGCTGACGGACAGTGGGCTCCCCAGGCTCTGCCCCCTTCTTAGGCTTCCCTTCTGGAGAGGCCCAGGGGAGAGCTACAGGGCTCCCAGGCTCCAGCGGGCCACGCAGCACCCTCTTCTGTAGCCCAGCAGGGACCACGGCCCAGGGGGAAAGTAGTGGGCACTGGAGGTTGGGGGGGAAAGGCAGGACAGAGGTCACCGATGTCAAGCTAGGGAGACTTGGGGCAGTAGGCCTCAAACCAGGCCCGGGACACCCAGGATTGTGTTCCTGAAAGCCCAGGGGCAGGAGGCTCTGAGCTGAAGCAGCTGGGTGGGAAAGAACAGGCCAGACATTCCCAATGCTCCAGGGGTGGGCCATGCGTCAAGGTGGAAGGCAGGGTCTATGTTCCTCTTGCATTTTCCAGAACACTCCGGAGAGGGCCAGACACACACATGGCTTGTAGTGTAGCACTGAGGAGTCACATGTCCAGCGCACCGACCCCCCCATCTTCATGACCCTGGACCACGTGCCTGACCTGTCTCTGGGGCCTCTTCCCCACCCCGGCTAAGTCTTTAGGGAGCAATGCTCAGTCCCTGCTTTCTAAGATACCTGGCTGGACTGCCAATCATGAAGTCAGGGGTTCAAACCCACCACCAGCCGCTCTGCACGGCGTCTGCTCCCGCAAAGACTCACAGCCTCGAAACCCCTAAGTGAGGTCATTATGAGTCGGAAGCCAGTCACTGGCTGTGGCTTTTAAAAATGAACAAAAATGAATTCCCAATTGCTTCTCTCCTCTTGCCCCCTGTCCAGGGGCATTTTAGGCCCCAACTTTCTCCCCAGACCCCCCAGTCCCAAGCCCCGAGGGAGGGAGGTGCTTTCCTGTTCTTTGTTAATTCTCCCCTCATTACGCCTGCAATCCCACAATCAGTGTGCACTGTAATTGTCGAATTTGATGCTAATGATTAATGAATTAAACATGGAGTCATCAATTAGTCCTCGGAGGATAATTCTGCATAAAGCAGCGGATAATGTAATTACAGTAACAAAGATAATGAGATGTTAACATCGCCCGGTGAGTGAGAGACGTGTGTGAGTGTGCACGGGGTCGGTGTGGTGCTTGGTGCTCGGAGCAGGCAGGCGCGTCCGCGTGCGCTCAGGAGGGTGGGGCACGTGTGGGCACTGGGCACGTGCTGCCCTCCCGCTGTGTCGCTTGGCAGTCTCAGGAGAAAGCACCAGGGTGGGGCGGGGGAGCAGCTCGGCTTAGTGCCTCCCACCCTCTCCAAGGCAACAGCCCGACCACCTTCTGGCCACCTGCCTCCCAGGTCAGCCCTCAACCGCTGCCTCTGGCTTGGTTAGCCTCCTCCTCTTCCTCTCCTTCACTACGAGTGAGAGAGACCCCAGAGGAGGCTGCAGCCCGCCTCCCAGCCCTGCTGGAGAACAAGCTCCCTGCAGCGGAGCACAGAGCTTCCTAGGGCCCCGTCTGCGCAGCTAGCTGGCCCCTCCCCAGCACACCTGTTTGTGCGTGAGCGAACTACTGCTGCCTCCTTTGCTTCCCTCCTCCCCCTCACCACGGTAACGCCAGGATCCCCCAAGTCCCAGCGTCTGAGCTCAGGCTGGCTCGGAGGAAGGCCAATGGCCTTGGATCCAAATCCCCCCGTTCCCTCTCCTTCTGACTCCAGGGTCAAGTTGGCTGATCTCGATGGGTCTGCTTCCTCACCGACCAGGGGGAGGAAGCCTCACAGAGTGAAGGAACTGGGTGCCGGTGTTCAGAGTCCACCCACAGCACCTGGCCTGAGCATTCGGTGGGGCTACTCCTAGCCCAGCCCACTACTGGGGCCTCCACACTGGGCAGCCTGGGCAAGGAGAAAGCCTACAGGCCCGTTCTCTCGCTCTCTCTCGTTCACGTGGTACGCTCAGGGCATGGGGCCTGAGATTCCAGTCCTCCCTCCAAGCCCATGTTCCCCATGGCACCCGCAGCACTCTGTTCTGGCCTGTCTCATCCGTCTGTCCGTCCATCCTAGGAGCCTGAGTATCCCTGTCCAGTCCTCTAAGTGCCCCAGGCCTCCTTGTTCCATTGCGACCAACAGCTCCCAGCACTGTCCTCTTGGGACGGCTGTACACTTGAGCTGAAACACTGCTAAAGGCTGCCCTACAAGCCTTCCCGTCTGCAGGCAGGCCAGCTTCCCGAGGAGCTGCTGCTGGCCCCGGAAGAGTGTGGTCCAATGGTCTAGGACAACACGAGGCACCTAAGAAGGGCTCCAGGCGGCACTGGAGGTCTTGGGTAAGAGCTGGGTATGGGAAGGGCCACTCTCGGGAAGCTGGGTAGTTGAGTGTGGCCAGTGGGAGGTGGGATGAGGAGGCAGCTCGGGGCTTAAGCAGGGAGCTCCAAGGACAGATGATCTTCCCCATCGCCTGAGGTGTAGGGGGCAGACCAGAGCTGTGGAAGGCTGTGTGCCTGTGGGTGGGGGCCCAATGGCAGCATCTCTCCAAGGCTTCTGAGCAGAGACTCACCTCACAGTAAGTTCTCTTCACCTCTAGCATCCCCGTCCCTTGCCCCCCGAACCTGCTCTCTCTCAGCTTCCCGCTCAGCCGGAGGTGCCACGCTGCACCACACATCCCTGATTGACGGGAGGTCGGGCACCCGGGCCAGCATCCTTGTCCCCACCCAGCACCTGCCTAGCTGTCTTTTGCTCCAGATCAGAAGGGAGACGGTCAGGCCTGGTGTTGGCAACCTCCCAGACAAGAAGCTGTGGGGCCCTGTTTCCGAGACCCAAGCCAGGTCAGCGCCCCCTGCTGATAGGTGCACTGTGTGCAGGCAGCAGTGTCGGGGAAGGTGTCAGTATGGGGGAGCCTGGGGCGCAGCTCCTGCTCCCATGTCTCACCTGAGCCCCCGCCCAGCTGGGTGCTGCTGCGCTCCAGCCCGCTGGCCCGGGGGCTGGTGCCGGGCGCCGTGGCTGGGGCGGCGCGGGGCAGCCGCTTCCCGGGTACTTTGACCGTGGTCCGAAGCAGGTCGATCTCTTTGCCGTGGATGTTCTGCATGTAGTCCTACAGGCCATGGGAGAGGAAGACGTGTTAAGGCCGGGCTTGTGTCCCTGTCTGCTGCATTAACCCGGGAAATGCCAGGGTCTCCCCCGAGGGGAGGGAGAGGAGAAGGAAAGGGCTTTTAAAGCCAAAGTCTGGGTGCCCAGTCAATGCACATGGGGCCCAGGGCAGCCCGGGGAGGCGGGGGGGCAGAAGGTCAGGGAAGGAGGCAGAAGCAAGACTAGGCTCTGAGCTTCCAAGTGGGGGTGGGACAGCTCGAGGGGTAACACTGGGCGGTGGGTCTAGGTGCGGGGACCAAGGGGACCTACATGGCTGCGACACTGGCCGTGACCAGTCAGGTCCACCGGACAGGAACAAGAGCATGCTCTAGGCCCTGAGGGCTGGTCGTCAGCACACCGGTCGTCTGTGGACACTCCACTTACCCACCATCTCTTAGGACGGCCGAGCAGTTTAAAGGGAAGGCTGTGGGTGTTTGCAGGACTTGACACATGGAGGCTTGACACTCAGAGCTACAAGGGAAGCCTCTTATACCTATTTCACAGATGGAGAAACTGAGGCCTGAAAGTTAAGTGCACCTGCCCCAGGTCACGTCATGAAAGCAGCAGCAGCAGAGCCAGACTCACACGCAGGCTGCTCCTCATCGTCCAGAGCTGCCCCTCGCGGGCCACTAGAATGGGGGGTGGGGGTGGTGGAGCATTCTGCACTCCAAGGTTTTGGCCCGGCTCCTCCATGCTGGTCTGACTGAGCAGGGCCGCCGCTGTCTCGTATGTTTCCTAAGCCCCAGCTCCTCACGGCTCACGGCTCCACTCTCCCCGCTCTGAGAGCCAAGTGGGCACTGCCTGCCTGGGGCTGCACGGCACTGATGATAGCCTCTGAGGGTCTCTGTACCTGAGATGCTTCCACTCACGGGCCGGCCTCAATGCAGCCTGATGCCCCTGCACACCCTCCTCACCCCCTGCCCACTTTGGGGACAGCCCGCCCTCTCCTATTTCCTCCCGGCTCAGCCTCAGGAGAGGGTCCTGTCTACAGCTCTTCTGAGAAGAGGAAGAGGCAGCGAGAGAGTGGAGGCTGCCACTGCGGCCCCAGGGTGGCCCTGGGATCTGGAAGAGCACCGAGGACCATCAGGTAGACAGAGGGAGTGCAGCCTCCAAGCAGCAAAGGACGGGGTGTGTGTGTGTGTGTGTGTGTGTGTGTGTGTGTGTGTGTGTGTGTGTAGGGGTGCTCCGTGCAGAAGAGGAAACACGCAGGGTGCCCTCCGGACCATCTGCGTCCAGCCTGGAGGCACCATGGATGAGAGGGGAGTGGGAGCCCCGGGAGCTGGAGGGGCAGGTGCTATAGGGCCTTTTCTTCCTGTTTCTGGATGGACGTGGCGTTGCCCTGCGTTCTCGACGCTGCTCTTTCCTCTCAGAAGTAGACACCCTTCCTTGGGAAGGGGAAGAGCATGCGTGGTGGTGAGGGGAGAGCATCCTTTCCCAGTTTGGGGCCCTGCAGCCCTGGGCCGGGTCCTGAGGACGGGCACTGCGACTCAGTCTCAGACCAGAGCTAAGAAATCAACCACAGCCTATCTCCCCCAACCCCTGTCGGTACAGCCCGTGAACACCCACCCTGCTCCTTAGCCAAGAGGGGTTCTCCCCCGGCCTCCCCTGCCCCAGTGGACTGCAATTGCATTCAGTGAGGTGGCCCCTGGTATGACTGCGAAGGCAATAATCCCAGGGCCCTGCTCGTTCTGCAACACCTTCCCCGGCAACTTGGTCTCCCGCCGGGCCGACTATGGGCCCGTCTTGCTCTCAGTTCACGGCTGATTCTTGACTCTGGCCATGCAGACGGCAGAACCCACACCCCCACAGCTCCGGACCGACCCGCCTCTCCCAGGAGCTTGTCCCCAGCCCCTCCACATCGAGATGCAGCCTTGGCCTGGCCGCCTCCAGACGACCGTCAACAGCTAGCCAGGCCAAAGGCACAGCTGCCAATCGCTCCTGCGGGGGAAGGGGCTTGAGTCTGCTCTAGTTCACAAGGAGGTCATTGCAGCTGCCATGGCTTCCAGGCCCCAGGACGGCCCAGAAGACCTCGGCTTGGGACACACCGAGGGAAGCAGCTAACCATACCTGTGCCAAGAATAAGGCTACCTGGAGGGACTCACTTTGGGGCCAAGGAGCCAGAACTTAACTGCCGGGAAGAGCAGCCTGGCTGGGGCACCCAGAGTCCAACTGGAGCTCCAAAGACAGCCCCCCGGCTGGCACCTCTTGCCAGGGCAAAGTGGCCACCGCTGCTCCTCTCCAGGGGCCGTGGAGCGCCAGGCTGCACGCAGAGGTGGGGCCCAGCCCCAGAGAAGGGTGGTGGTGAGGAAGAACAGCAGGGACCCGGGGACCCAGGGGCAGAGCAACAGCGTTTCCCTCCGTCAGCAGAACAGGGAGCGTGGCGGCAGCGGCGGGCTGCTCTGGAGAGCGGTCACCACGGCTGCCTTTATTACCCACCATCAAACAGCAATTTCTTCCCCAGCCTCCTCGCTAATTACCCAGCCAGCGTTCTCATCTCGTTTTATTACTGGAATTAACAACGAGTTCAGAGCGTGGAAAGCTATTAAGATGTGTGATTAAGCCACATTCAATTAGTTTCTACAAACAATTTAATTGATGTTGCAGATAGAATTAACAGAAGGTGATTGTGTGAATGGCTCCACTGGCTGCAAAATGGGGGAGGCGATGGCGGGTTCTCTCGGGCCAAGCAAGAAGGGCTCAGAGCTCAAGGCCGGCTGCCGTGCTTCCTCCTCCATCTGCGCTGCCTGGGCCCCAATAGCTGGCCTGACGGCCTCCCCCGCCAACACGGCAGTCCTCAGGGGAGACCTGGCCCTGGTGAGAAGCGCCCGCCCTGGGAGGCCACGTAGGACCCTTCCGTTCCAAAGATGGTGTGTGAAAGCGCCCAGGAGGAGGCCGGGCTGCCCATGGCAAGGGCAGGGCCTCCATGGCCAGGAATGGAAAAGCTTGCTCTGGCTGGCCAACTGGACAAAGGGGCCAGCTGGCAGCACCTGAGTATAGCTGCCATGGAGGAAGGCAGCAGAAAGTGAGGAATGGGGTGAGCGATCCCCCTCCACTCCAACCGAAGAAGTTCCGGCCCTGTGCCTGCCCTAACCTGGCACAGGCCGCCCTGGGCTCTGCCTTCACGTGCATGCTTGCTGAAACCCCCCAGTTTGGATCCCAACTTTTCTGAATGGGGGGTGGGTGTGGGCAGCTGAAGAACAGCTCCTAGGTTCACACACTTGGCTCTAACTGGACAGCCGAGGGTGCGAGCCCACCCCCAGGTGTGTCCCCGGGAAGGCAAGTCCAGTTATGGATGCTCGGGTCTCGATTCTGCTGCTTACCCTGTTGATCAACTGCAAACACACCAGAAACCAGCCACTGAGAACTCCACTGGGGCAGTGCCCTGCCCTGTGGGGCAGGCTGCCACGACTTGACACCGACTGGGGGTCAACTGACAGCATCACCGATCAGGTGGTGCCGCCTATACCCGCTGCTTCCTCCTGGGTTTATCTGGGCAGGCATGTCGGGAGCTAGCAAGTGGCCTGTGAGTGGCAGCCGGTGACACACCATGCAGGGGTGGTCTCACGGGGCTGTCCCATGGCCTCACGCAACTTGCGTGGGCCAGGGCAGCAGAGGCGAGGTGGGCTGGCCTGAGGCCTGGTCGCCAGAGTGGTTGGTTTCTCAGAACTCACCTTGCGGGAGACTAAGAGCAAGCTTCAGAAACTAGGCCCCCTAAACTGGACTGGTCCCAGGCCCTGGAGTGTGTGCAGCCATACATGTGCTGGGCAAAGAGTGCTCCTGGTCTCCAGGGCTTAGGAACACTTATCCTACATCCTGCTACGGTAATGGCGCCTCTCTACAGGGGTGTACCCAGTCAGTTTCCAAAGAGCGAGCCTCTTGGCAAGTGCAGAACAATCGAGGCAACGGGTCAGAGCCACAGGTAGTTGGGGTCAGGCACAGGTTTAGAGTCAGAGACACAGGGACCTGGACTTCAGGTCAGGCACAGGTTTAGAGTCCTAAGTTCTGTCTAGTCTGAGCTCACCCCCAACTGTGCACAAGTGGCACCCCTCATGCCCTTACCCTCCTTCCCATCTAAAACCCAAGATGAAACAGCCGACCCGACCCTTCCCTCCTTCCCCAAGACCCTCGAGCCTCATTCTTCCTGACCCCAAGCAGAGTGAAGGTCCACTGTGACGGCAGAATGGATGGCAGGGGAGGATGCAGGGCCCCGTGGGAAAACTGGCCCATGTGTGGGCTTTTCGCTGCTGGGGACGGACAGAGTGGCCGAGGACCCGCTTTCGGTGCAGGTCACCCGGGAGGAGGATCTTGGAGTACACCCTGCCCGTTGCTGTGCCTCAGTAGCCACTTCGTCCCTTCAGGAGGGTAAGGGGACAACCTGGGGGACGCCCTTTCAGCTGGGAGAGGTGAGGTCCTACGCACTTGGATTTCAGGGACGGGTTCCTTCCCTTGCCCCCGTCAGGTACTGAGATGGGGCTGTCACAGGTCAGGGTACTCCACACCTGCACTGGGCTTCTGGGTGCCCCAAGAACACTCTCTGCCCTGCCGTGGTTTCTCCCCCAGGGGATGCTAGGGGACAAAGTCTCTGTGTGCACACAAAAGCTGGCTTCCATTGCATCAGTGGCGTCTCCCACCTGCCTGCCCACTCGCACCAACGCAGCCCCTTCCTGGTGGAGTGAAGGGTCCCACGGGGCATGGTGTGTGTGCGACCGGGAGGAAGTCCCAGGAGGGCCGGAGCAGGAAAAGCCAGGAGGACAAGACAGAGGTGGGGGGGAGGGGGAAAGAGGGGCACCCAGGGGAGCAGACTAGCTGGTTGTCCTCCCCATGCCGGGACCCCGGCTTTGCCTTCCTCAGTAGATGTGTCTGGGTGGAACTCTTTGGACAAGGGTCAGGCTGGGCAAACAGGATCCCAGCATCTCTTAGGGTGGGCCTCTGTGGCCTCTGGTGAGGACGGAAGGCAAGCTGGGGGCCCTCTCGAGCAAGCTCAGGGCCTCTGGGCTGGGGGTGGGGCTGGCCCCCGTGCTGTGCTTGAGGGGTTCGCAGGAGAACTCATTAGCCCCACAGTGGGGTGGTGACAGAGATGGATTCTGTGACAGCTGTGTGCCGGAGCCACGCAGGGAGGGGAGGAAGAGAGGAGAGGTAGGGAGAGTTGCCACGGGGGCTACTATACAGTCAGTAACCCCCCCACCCCCCGCAGCTTGGACGCAGACCATGTGCCCCCAGATGCCTCCTGTTGCAAAGACACCCCCACCCCTCGGATGAGGGACTTGTCCAAGGCCCCACAGTCTTCCTAGGAGTCCTGCAGATCGGGCCTCACCCCGCCTGCCTGTCGGGGCCTACAAGCAGGCACTGCCCCGCCAGGGCTGGAAGTCAGCTTGGGTTGCGGGCATGGACCGAGCAAGGGAGCCAGGGCTGGCCAGACGATGCAGACAGGGGTGGGCAGCCAGGCTGCTCCCTCGCTCAAGCGACTGCACATCAGCCTCCCTGGCCAGCGTGCTGGCATGCCACAGGCCAGAGCTCCCTGGTCCCCCCTGGTCCAATGAAGACCAATGCACGATCCCTGAGGTCTGCCAGCCCCCTGGCTCCAGGGGCCGGCCTCCACCTCCTATCTACGCCCACCTCCTCACTGCCAGCCCCGGGGACTCACGTGCAGGCTGGGGTGGTAGGTGAGCAGTCCGTTGTCGCAGAGGGTCACGTACTTCTTCTTCCACTCCTTGTTCAGGGACTTGCCGCTGCGCTTCAGGAGGATGCCCTGAGGAGAGAGGTCTGCTCAGAAACCAGGATGGGGACGGTCATGGCTGGCTATCTTGGGGCCTCTTCATCTAAGCCCCTGGCTCCTGGGCCTCCGCCTGCCTAGGTGGAGGAACGTCCGAGGATCTAGAGCAGAGCCGGAGGAGCAAAAGGCCCTGTAGCACCTGCCCCTGCCTGACCTCTGCTGGCAATCAGCTTCGGGGCCACTTTTCCAGAAGCCTTCGACCAGTTGCCCCCTCCTCCCCCACCCTCCGGAGGCAAGGGGCATGGAGCTATGTCAGCAACAAGTACAGCCAGCTCCAGTGCTGGTCCCCACAGGGAGGCGCCAGCCCGACTCCCACGTCACCTCCAAGGGGCAAAGGTGACACGGACACAGCGGTCCGCATAGGCTCATAGATTCAGGGGGGAGTTCCAGTGAGGGCAGGGGCATTATCCAACCATTCCCTTCAGTCAGGCGGGGGTGGGGGGTGGGGGGGGCAGAGAGAAGACCCAGTGCTCTCGCTCGGGCTCAGCAATCACTCCTGGGCAAGAAGAAGAGGAGCCTCAGGGTGACAGAGCTCCCGAACAGCCCGGCCTGCTGCTCACTGTGCCCACGGACACAGTGTTGGCACCTGAAGCCGGGCTGGGGTCTGCCTGAGCAGAGCACTGAGATGCCGTCATCAGAGCTCGGGGGAGTGGGCAGAGGAGGCAGGCTGCATCAGGACACAGGAGATGCCCAACAAGAACCTCTGCTTCCTTCTGGCAACTGATGGACTCTCCTCCTTAAATGCTGGCCCCTCAAAGGAACCCTGGCGCCCCCACCGCCCAGATCCTCTCCCTCAAACAAACAAGGCAGGCAGGCACAAGGTGGGGAACTGGCACTGGGTGGGGCCCCAGAGGGAACAGGAGCACACAATGGTGGGCCACCCAGGCTGAGAAGTAGCAGCGTTCCCTGGAGAGTTCCCAACACAGGCCCCCACCCCTCCAAACCTTGGGCTAGCAGGGGCCAGGGGCTGAGGGCCCCTGGTACAGGGGGTGGGGCTGAGGCTAGGGCCAGGGGCTGGCAGGGGAGCAACCCTAAGTGCCACCCCGAGGGTGTGAAGCAGCTGTGATCTGCCCCCATTTGGAGGCTGGTAGAACTCAGATAGCAAAGGACCTACGATGGCTTCTCATAGGATGGAGGGTCCAGCTCTGGGTAGCCAGCAGAAGGAACTGGGAGAGCTGGGGTGGGGAGGTTGGGTGTAGCCCACCTGTGGTGTGAGTAAGCCCTGGGGACAGGCACAGAGCTGTGGCTTATAGAGCTGTCAGTCAGCAGCAAGGCAGACTAGGGTGTCCCATGGGCGCCCCACTTCCCAACAGGGAGTGGGGGGAAGGGGTGTAAACTAGCAGGTCAGAGCAACTTTCATTTCAATTTCCTGCTTTTCAGCAGGAGTCCCTCCTCCTCAGAGCCCACCTCCCCTTTCCTGAGAGCTGTGCTGCAGGTTAACAGCCCTGACCCCGACGTAACCTTTAGGAGATGCTCCAGACAGACCAATTGTCTGAGACCCCTAAAGGAGCTCATATAGCTCCCTCCACCCCATCCCCATCTACCTCGGGGTATGACAGCCCAGTCACAGGCCAGGTATCCCTTTATTGTAGCAAAGAGTCCCAGAACAGGTGTCCACCAAGCTCTGAAGAGGCTCCCCACCTCCCTGGAAGGCTTATCTCCACTGACCCCAGAAATGGGAAGAAAGAAGTTTGGGGAGGGTGTGCGGGGAGGCACCCCTGCCCTCCTCTCCTCATGGTAACACAGGCCGACTCCTTGTTGGACCCAGCCTCCCAGAGGAAGAGCCACGCAGGCATGCGCACGCACGGGTGTGCCCCAGAAACCCCTTTCCCCATGGTCCCTCGCCTCCCCCGACCTCTTCTCCTGGGTCCAGCCTGGCCCTCCCTTCCCACTTTGCATCATGGCAGGAATTCTCTGGGCCTGCTTCCGAGGACAATAAGGAAAAGTGGACTGAGAGACTTTAGGAACTTCCTCTGACTGCGCAGTGAGAGTGGATGGATGAGTGAATGCCGAGATCCCGGCCCACTCAGGACTCCTCCCTACCCTTCACCTTGACCTCCTCTTGGGCAGGAGGCAGAAGCCCACAGCCAGCAGTAATGACGCTCATTAGCTGAGGTGTGGGAGGAGGCCCAGAACTTCGTGAGGGCCAGGGAGCTGCACCCGCCGGACACCCTCCACTCAACCACCGAACCCAACGCCTACCGGCACCTCCCACTCACCCAGCTGGCTCTCCACCCCTCACCCTAGCTGGGGGACTGGAAGCTGGCTGAACACTGGGCAGAAAGAGAAGGTCTCTACCCCACTCCCTCCCAAATCTTTGTTCAGAGGAGGCCTAAGAGCTGCAGGGGTCTGGCTCCCCCCTGGCCCGGCCAGGCTGCGCACAGTGAAGCAGGAAGCAATCTGGGGCGGGATGGAAGCTGAGCGGAGGCGACAGCCCCCAGAGGACCCGTTCCCGCCGCCCGCCTCCCTCCCAGCTCCGCCAGCCGCCTTAATTGTGGAGTCCGGATTGATTGGGAATGCAAATGGCAACTGCGATGTAATCTCCACTCCCAGCAGGGGCTGGGGGGAGGGGAGGGAACAGAACTGGGGAGAAGGGACAGGGGGGTGGCAGAGGGGAGGGGGCCTGATTGTGTGGGGGGGCCACAGGCTTGGCAAGTGGGCTGGGATGCAGGAGCCCGGCCAGACGCCCCCACCTGCATCCCGCCACCCCAGACAGCGCCACCACCTGGGGGCTGCGAAGGACAGGACCCACTACACCTCACTCCTGCGTTCCTATGACACCTAGCCCCAGACAACAACAGGCTCCAAGAAACCTTTCTGGCCCCCCCCAGATCGCCCCCACCCCCGCCGTGGGGTGCAGACAGACTGCGAACAGGGAAGTGACCCAACTGACCCTCAGGTCAGAACAGAAGCCCATGCACAAGCACTAAGTCCCATAGACCACTTAGCCCAGGGCTTTGTTTCCTGGCCAGGAAGAGCCAGCCCTGGCCAGCCCAGCCGCAGGTAGCGGAAGTGCTGGGGGGTAGCTACCCTGTGGGTCAACAGCGTTCGGTATGTGTGTGTTAAGTGTACACACCACACTCAGACACACACACCTGCTAACTGGGCTTCGCCTGGCCCTGTGCCCACGGGCACACTCTTCCCCTGGCACAGGGCTGGGTGCACTCCTACCACCAACAGGTGTCTGTGGGAGAGGACGCAGGCTGACCCAACTAGATATAAATATTGCGACAACTTGGAGGGAGGGAGGGAAGCAGAAAAGCCAAGAAGTCTGTCACTGCAGTGTCCCTCACCCTGCCCTCTGGGACTGGGGGCTCTGCCTTAGGAAAGCCCAGCGTCAGCACGGGGACTCTGATTCTGAACACGGGGAGGGGCACCAGGTCTCACGCACACTGCTCAGTGCCTGGAGAGCCCAGCTAGCCTCACACTGGCTCACGGTAAGGCTGTCCACACCAGTTTCTCTGAGATACAACCTGCCCACACAGCCCCCTTTCAACACGGAGGAGATGAGATGCCAGAAGGGGGCCATCAGGTCCCTGAAGCCTTCTTCAGGCCCACTGTGCCCAGCCCACCTGCACAGGCACCAGAACAGTGCCTCCCCCCCTAACCCCCCCTCCCCCGCAGCTCAGCCTCCAGTGGCCTTTACACACAGCCTGGTGGGGAGGGGGTATGCACATCAAAAAGTTAACAAAATGGAATTAAAAGGTCATTTCCGCAGACTTTTGAAGCCCCTTTGTATCTCTGAGCAAAGACACCCCTGGCTGCACAGTGTCCTTTCCTAGCCCAAGCTCCACTGGCAGCTGGTGTGGAAGAACCACCGGGCAGAGGCTCAGGAAGGAGCCTCAGGCTCTGGAGCCGGACTGCCCACAGGGCTACGGCCGGCCTCAGCACTCCCCCAGCGCCCAATCCCTGGGTTACTCTGCTTTTCTGGGAGGAAAGGGTGCAAAACCCAGCAAGTCCTGAGATTGCCGGTCCTCAGCCCGGGAGGGGAGGTCAGGGTGAGAAACGGCTTTCTGCTGCCCTCCAGTGGCCGAGACCGAGGACACACACTCCCAGCATGTGTTGCCAGGAACCTGGCGCTCAGAAAGGGTGCAGGAGCTCAGAAAAGGACCACCTTCTGCAGAGGCCCAGTCCCCACTCCATGGACACAGAGTGGGCAGTGCGCTGACCTGCTTGATGGGGATGGCCCGGCCACTCCCAATGCTGTCCACCTTGCACTCGGCCGCCTTCCTCTCCCGGTCCACTTCGGCACCCTTCCGGGACTGCAAGAGAAGAGAGGCGGCGTATTACAGAAGGCCCTGGAGCAACCTGGGCGGCACTGCCTGCCTGAACCCCAGCCCGCCCTCCTTCCTCCCTCCTCCTGGGCAGGGCCTGGCAGTGAGTGGGCAGGGGCGTCGGGGGGTGGGAAGGAACAGAGGCCACGAGTATTCCAACGGGTTTATTCTTACACACGGCACCATACAGAGCAGCACGGGTCACTGGGCTGGGCCCGCCCCTTACAAGAGAGCAAGGACAGGAGATACCGGGGGCATGAGGCGCGCAGCGCAGGGGGCTGGGGTGTAAAAGAAGGGGGGCAGGGACAGGTGGATGGCGGGGGCTGAGGAGGGGCTGGTGGCATAGGGCACAACGATCGGGCGGGGGGTGGGGTGGGCAGAGTCCAGAAACACGCGGCCAGGAGGCCTGTCCCCTGTGGCACAGGCACCACACGGCACGGTGCATGGGCACCGTGGACGGAGAGAGACAGAGACAGAGAGAGAGAGGGAGGGAGGGAGGAGAGATGCCCAGAGAGGCCCTGCGCCCTTCCACGCTCTTGGGGCACACATAGTCCACCCGAATGAATGCGGATCCTAGGAAACAGGGAGGCCAGAGAGAGGGGAAAGGCAAGCGGCGGCGGCGGTGACTGCGGCGTCCGGAGCAGGAGCAGGTGCGCAGTAGTCCATGCAGGAAGGAGCGGAGGAAGGGAGGGGCAGGAAGGCACCCCCTAGGAGCAGCCGGGCTGCAGCAGGCGCATGGCCGCCCCTGCCCGGAGGGGATGCTGTCACGCTGGCGTCAGTCACGCTGGCCGGCCGACGGCGCGAGGGGTGAGCTCCCTTCTTCTCCACGCAGCATAGGCCTGGTGCGGCGGAGGCTGCGGCCGCCTCCCCAGGCAGCCCCCCGCAGGCAGCCATTGGCTCCAGGGCTCCTAGCTTTCCCTGGGGGTGGGGTTAGTTACAAAGGTTCCTGTGGGTCTCTGGAGAGGGGAGCGCGGCGGCCGCGTCTCATCTGAGAGCAGTCCCAGGCCTGGCCCGCCTCCGGCCCGACAGGGAACAATGTCCAGAGGTGCTGTGTGTCACCACCTGGTCTTCTAATTTGGAAGGAGTTGGAAAGGCCTTTTTGTTGATGAAAAGTTGGAAACAGTGGCGCATATCTGCAAATATCGAAAGAATAGAGATTTTGGCAAGTTACACTCAAGCCCCGCACAGGTCGGTCAGCAGAGACCCAGGTGCCTGGGGAGAGGCAGGGTGGAGCACGAGAGGAGAGGAGAGGAGAGGAGCGGAGCGGAGCGGAGCGGAGCAGAGCAGGAGCAGAGCAGGAGGTACGAGCAGCAGTGGTACAGTTGCACTGCGAGCAGATGCCCTGGCGAGGCTGGGTTGCCCACTGCTCGATCGCTCACTCATTCATTCACACACTCACTTACATGCTCACTCACTCAGGAGCTGGCCCCTTGCAGGGAGCCCAGGGCAGCTGCTGCAGCAGCAGCAGGGCAGGAAGGGATAGCCAAGGGGGCAGCAAGGCTTCACGGGAAAGGATCACAGAGGGCACGTCGCCTAGCAGTCCCACACAGCACCTACTCTGGCAGGGGCCCTGCCTGGGCAGCATGGCCCAGAACCCAGTGCTCTGGCCCCTCTGGCCCTATGAGGAGGAAGGAGGCGTGGGAGGGACCACTGCCTCCAGGTCCCTGATAAAAGAGTCAAGTGCAGCCTGGCCCAGCTGGGTCGTAATACGGCTCCCCACCCAGGTGGCCCTCAGTCGGGGTCTGGGGGCTGTTCTCCCACCAGAGGAAGGGCGCAGGGACAAGAGAGACAAGACAAGCCCATAGAGCTGTGGGTGCCTGCAGGCGCACGTCCATGCCCATGGGGCAGGAAGGCCCCGAGCCACAGCACAGGCAGGCGCAGGGGTGGGCAGTGCATGAGGTGCCCCACCCAAGAAGGTGCAGCTCTGCTGGGAGAGTGATGCCAGAAGAGCCAGGAAGAAAGTGGGTGGGGTCCCGCAGTGACCCCTCCCTCCCCCAAGAGATCAGCTGCTGGGGGAGACTGGACAGCAAGAAACTGCATGGGGAGAGGAAGAGAGTGAAAGGCCTCCCAGAGGGCAGGGCTGGGCCATGAGCTCTTGGGAACAAGGGTGGCAGAATGGGGTCACCACAGTCCAGGCAGGTGACAGAGGGCTGGTCGAAGGCGGAAAAGCCAGGTGGCTGGTGGGTGAAGGATGGTGATGAAGCAGAGGAGAGAGAAGGCCCTGGGTTACTACGGCAGGGAGGGAGGAAGATGGGGAGCCAGCGATGGTGCGGTGGGAGATGGCTGGGCGTGATGTCGGGAGCAAGCACCCGCAGGCTGGGGAACAGGCAAAGCCCCAGTGCATCTCATGGTGCCAACAGAACAGAGACAGGCAGGGCCCAGGCAGAGCAGCCCAGGGTGGCAGTGGCATCGGCAGCCACAGCAGCGCAGCCAGCAGGCAGATGCAGCAGGCACGCAAGCAGAGCAGGCGGCAGCAGGAGTGTGTGATCAGGATAGGGGCTAGAAGGCACGTAGGCCGGAGGGCCCCCGCTGGGCAGCTCCACACGCAGGCAGAGGCAGGTGGGGTGACACAGGGTGGCGGGCAGCAGCAGCTGGTGTTCTCCTGAGAATTTATGGCCAGCTCACCCACCTTGGCCTGGCCCAAGATTCCCGGAACAGTCCAGCCCAATTCCAGCTGGAAGGGTGGTGTGAGGGTGGGCCCACGGGGCCCACGGAGAGGTGCTGGGGCTCTGGTGCGCCTTCGTGGGAGGGTTGGCCTTCCCAACAGAGGACACAATTGAAGCCCTGGGTTACATGGACCTTGGGGGAGCAGGGCGGGCGGGCAAGACAATCCCAGGAGAACTGAAATGGGAGGATGAGGCAGTGGGGGAGCAGCAAGGTGGGGGTAAAGACCTAGGGGTTTTTTTGTGTGTGTGTGTGTGGGGGCGGGGCACACTCCTGCTCAGTAATGTGAGGTCATGGAAGAAAGAGCTGGATGGGGCCTGGGGCCCAGAGCCTGGCTCTGTCTAGTGCTACCTGTGCCAACTAACCCTTTGTGGAACCCTGGGCTGGTTCTGGCTTCCAGTTCACTAGCTACCCAACCAAAGATGCTGGGAAGTTCAACTAGATACGTTCGAGGACCTCTTCATGTTGGCAAAGGATTTCCAAGATCTCAAGGAACGAAAGGGGCTTTGTGCACAAGGTAGGTGTGTGGCAGGGGTAGGGTGGGATGTGGGGTGTGGTGCGGGAGCCCCACGCAGGCTCAGCGGAGCAGTCTGAGAGTGGCTTGGGGCGTGGGTGGGGAAGACTGGGGCCCTGTGTGTGTGTGTGTGTGTGTCTGTGGTCAACAGAGGCATCATCCTGGCCTGGGGCCCCACGCACGGGGCTGGCCATCACCCTCCTGGGCTGGAGCCCTGGCCTGATGGAGGGCGAGCCTTAGGCAGGCCAGGAGGCGGGCAGGTCACGTACCGTGAAGATGTTGGAGCGCCGCTTGGACTGCTTGCGGATGGGTGTGGGGGTGGAGGAGGCAGCGATGGTCTCGATGCGCAGCTCCCGCTGGCTGATGCTGGGGGTGGAGGGGACTGAGGATGAGTAGTCGCTGAAGGCGCTGCTGCCGCCATTCGTGGCCTAAGGACAGAGAGGGCTGCTGAGCGCTGCCGCGGGGGCGGTGCAGGAGTGGACAGAGGAGGCGGGCAGGGTGCGGGGGTGGGGCCTGGGGCCTGGTCTGTGTCCAGTGGAGCTCGCTTTCTCTCAGGGGTGGCCGGTAGGCCTAGCCTAAGATGGTCGGGTAGCTTCTAAGACAGTCTCAGGTGGCGAGCCAAGCACAGACTGGAGCCTGGAGGAGGCAGCAGACCCTCTTCCCGGAGGCCCATGTGTGGGGGCTCGGGGCAACAGGGCCAGAAGTTCTCTACCCCCCATTGGAGCCCGAGCAGGAGAGTGGGCAGGCTGTGGGGGCTGGGCACACAGATGTGCTAGTGCCGAATGAGGCAGCAGGTCACCCTGGACTCCCCCAAAGTCAGGGATGCAAGAGAGGGTGGTGGGCGGGGTTCAGGTTCCAGAGAATGCAGTCTGCTTCAAGGCAGCGTGTGTGATGGGGAAAGGGCAGAGTGCAAGCAAGAGAGAGAGAGATTTGCAGCCAGAGTTAAGTTGCAGGGTAGAGAAAGAAATGCCACAGGACAGGGAACTACATGGCTGGCAGTAGTCTGGGTGCTGTCCCAGGGCTCAGCACACACCCACAATTCTGGGTCACCTGCTTGCTCCTCGACTGCCCACGTGGCTTCCAACAGAGTGAAGGAAAGCGTCCTCCTTTGTCACCTCGCACTAATCTCAGTGCCCACACGCACTCGCACGCACGGTGAATAAATACGGTAAACACTGCCTTTTGCCACTGGTCCTCCCCACTCCTCCTGCTCAGGGCAGGGCCCCTGCTGTACAGCTGAGTCGCACCCACTCTGCTAGTTGCAGGTAGAGCTGGTCCCAGGCAGGAGAGAGACCCATCATGCCTCCTCCCTTCTGTCCACGTGGGCATGCTTCTGAAAACCCCTGCCATGCTCTCAGAAGTCCTATAGGGAGAGGCTCATGAGAAAGCAAACCAGGGTACACTCCGAATGCCAGGGGCTGCCAGCCGAGCCTTGGCAGGGCAATAGCCTTTGGCTGTGCTAATGATGAGTGGCTGTCAAGCTGGTCCTCCACTGAGCCCACAGGTTTGTAGCTTCAGAGACAGGAGTAGGGTGGGGGCGTGTGGTTAGGCAACAAGCTGCGGGTCCACACACAGGGTCCAGAAATAAGCAGGTCTCAGGCCCAGGAAGCAGGCAGGTACCCAAGTGGTATGATTTGAGGAAGGCTGCCAAGACCTGGCTCAAAAGTCGCCACTGTCCCTTCCTGACACCTCCCGAGGCACCAAAAGCCAACTGTCGCTTTGTGGCAAGGACCGTCCCTGTACACACACCTCCTCACAGTAGGGGTGGGTGTGGGTGGGGTGGTGCTTCATAGGGAAGGATCTGCCAAGCACCTCCTCCATCACATGAAGCATCAAGTCTCGGGGAGCCGTGGGCCAAGGGACTAATGGGAGGCGGGGGCTGTCTGGAGTTGTCAAGGCCTGGTCCTGAGCCTGAAAATCCCTTCCTCATTTTGTAGTTCTAAGGGTGGGTTCCAGAAAAGCAGCTCATGAGACCTCGTTAGCCACCGCGAAGGTCACGTTTCCTCAGCAGGAGTGACTGGGGGAGCGGGGTAGCAGGAGGAGGGGGGATGGGAAGCGAGGCTGCGGGTGAGGCCAGTCCTGCAGGCAACATGGGCAGGGCAGGTGAAGGTGCTGGGGGGTGCACAGAGACAAGGACTTCCGCAGCCTACGGGGGCTGTGCACGGTGCGGAGGGAACCCGGGCGGCAAGGAGGTGCGCCTACCTGGTTGAGGTGCACAGCTGGGATGGAGGCAGTGGACACTGCGGAGTGGCTGGGTGAGTTTGGCAAGGACTTGCAGGGTCCGATGGCCAGTTGCTGCTTCTTCCGCAAGGCCACGACCTTCTGGGCCACTGCAGGGAACAGCAGCCGGTTATATCCTCCGGGGCAGAAGGGTCAGCCCCGACAGGGCCTCCCCTTGACGCCGAGCCTCACATGCCGCAGAGCTCTCCTGGCGGGATGGCCCCCGGCCCTGGCGGTCACAAGCCCCACGCCAAGTTACCGTCCTGGAAGACCCGCTCCACGTTGAGCCCGTAGGTCGCGCACGTCTCGTAGTAGGTGCAGCGCTTCAGATCTGTAGAGAGTTTCCGGGCCCTGCTGTCATCAATAACTCGGGGGTTCGCAGCACTGATGGCATCTGTTGGGGGGAAGGGGGCGGTCACAGGGGGTGCATTGCACAAGAATGCAACCGGGACAGTGAAAAACTCAGTGCCAGGAACATGAGCCTTATGGCAACTCTGTCACCCGTACCCTGAACGTAGATTCAGTGGGGCCGGCCCACTCATCTCTCTGGTCCCCAGGGCCCTCTGTATCATCCTCGAGGAGGAGGGCAAGATAACCCTATAGCCCCACCCATCTCCAGGATAATGGGGGCCACAGGATTCAGTGGGGGGAGGGCAGTCCAGTGGACGTGGAGCAAGGGAGCCTTCAGATACGGCCGGCTCGCTAAGGCTCTGTGTCTCCATCAACGCTGGAAACGGCGTGGGAGGCACTGGGCCTTGCCCTCGCCTGCCCACCCAGGTTTTATAGCTACCTCCTCTCTGCTACCTCCCACCCCTGCTGCCCCAGGGAGGGCCCCGCCTCACCTTGAGTGCCCACCAACACCATGGGCACCTCACTGGCGTTGCGGAAGCTGCAGAGCCGAAGGAAGTAGTTGTAGACCGTCTGGAAACTGATCTCGTCTTCCAGGCTGAACACAAACACCACGGCGTCCACCCAGGCAGCAAACTGAGGGGAAGAGCACATGCTCCGTGACCACCCTGCCTGGCTCCGCAGACCGGGGAGCTCTCTCTGGCAGACCCTGTCAGGACAGCCTGGCTCCCCCTCCCCGCCCACACTGGGAACCTGAAGCAGGGGCGCCATGACACAGGGGTGTCACCTGGAGCTCGGGAGGCCCTCCTTCATCTCGGATAAGCAGCAGGTAGCTTTGACCATCCACCACAATCTCCTTCTTAAACCGGCCCCCTGGGAACAAAGGTCATGGTCAGAGGTCAAATGCGGAGAGAGCCCCAGGGATCGGAGAAGTTTCCCAAGTTTCCCACTAAGGAGGTGACTGATAGGAGACAGGGGAAGGGAAGGATCAAGGCCCAGAGAGCCCTGTGCACAGCAAGCCAAAGGGAAGGGGGGCAACAGAAATGCCAGCACACTCACCCTCAGGGGACTCCTCCTGGACATAGGTCCCGGTCAGATAGCGGTGCACCAGGGCTGACTTCCCACTGGACAGGTTCCCTACAATGCCCTGAGGGAGGGGGTAAGAGGCCATTGGGGAGGCATGAGGCAGAGCCAGGGCAGGGTGGGCAGGCAGGGAGCAGGGCTGAAGGTAGAGAGAGGAGGGAAGGTAGGGGAAAGGCTGGAGAGAGGGGCACGCCCTGAGGTCCTCTCTCAGTCTGGGCACAGGTCCTCTCCTGTCTGCTCACTCACCACTTTCAGCTCCGGCACAGAACGGCTCAGGGTCCACTCCTGGCTGTTCACAAATGAGTCTGCAGAAGAGACAGTGGGTCCATTAGGATCAGCGCCGCACAGACAGACAAACCCCCCACCCCTGACCCCTTCACAATACACTCCCGGTGTCCAGCACTGTCCCGTTACCGAGGACGAGGCCTGAGGACCCTGCTGTCAGGGGGACCCTAGTCCTCAGGGAGCAGCAGCAAAGTTCTGTTTTGCTTAAAGTGGAACAGAGTCTTAACAGTAAGTAAGAGGACTGTGAGGGGTGCAGGTTTAATTCCCCCTGGGTCTCAGCCCTGTCCCTCCTCACCTCACTGCACCAACAGGGGAGGCTAGTTCCCATCTTGATTCACACCCAGCCAGGCACCCCCAACCCACGCCCACCCCTAGGAGCCCAGACTTGAGTCCCAGGTGAGTGGCCATCCCAGCTGGTTGTAGCCCAGACCCAAACTGGGCTGGGCACTTGGCAAGGGGGCCCCCGCCTCCTGTAGCGAGTAGAAACAGCTCACCTGAAGCAGGGTGGGGCCACCCACCACATTCCTGAGCCTGGGTGAAGAAGGAGGAGCACCTTACTGGCCCTGTTCTTGGGAGGGCCAGGTCGAATGGGGTGCTTGCTACCCCACCCTGCCCGGCCCTCCCACCTCAGAGCCTCTGGTGAGAAGGCAGGGCCACCCTTTCTGTCCCAGAGGCCTGCCTCCCAGACCGCCCTCAGCACCTCTGCACTCTGCCACTTGGCTTGGGCAGTGTCTGGGAAATGGAGCTGCAATGTTCCCAGAGCCCTCCAGCAGTCAGTTGGCCCATCTCCTTCGGTGTGGCCTGTGGCCCTCTTTGCATGGCCCTGGGCAGCTTCCCTTCCCCAGGTGGCCTGCCTGCAACCGCGTCATCCCAGGCGCTTGCAAAGGTTAGTTCTCAAAGCCAGCTGCGGAGGGTCCTGCGTGCAACAGAGCCTGGGAGCCTGGGTCACCCCTTTGCCTCATCAGAGGGTGCAGGTCCCATCCCACAGCCCTCCCTGGTGTCCTATTCCATGACGCTGTGGATCAGGAAGCAGGGCGCTGGGCTGGCCATTCTGTCACCCCCCGAATTTCAAGGTCCCTTTGGCCCTGCAATTGGGAGCCAGCCGCCAGGGCAGCTCCTGTCAGTCAAACAAAGCCCCTCACTTGGGGCAGGCGCAATTAGAGCCCGGCCCCGGCTCCCAAGCCCACCTCAAACCAGGTGGGTCACCATTTCCTCACAATGTCCTCAGTGTTCTAGTCTCCAGTCCTCGGGGACACCGGTCTCAC